TCGACATATAAATCAAATGTATTAACACTAAGAAAGTAGCAACTGTAAAATGTAAATTATACAAAAATGTTTTTTTTTTTTTTACGGGGATTAGCCCACCCGGGCACAGGTCACTGACCCACATCGGGGCCTGAGGGGACGAAAATGTAGTAGTAATAATACTAATAAAGAACCATAAAGAAATACAAAAGTGAAAAAAAAATCAAAAGTGAGAAAAAATGTATGGATGCTGTGTTGTCAATAGTAAGAGAAACAATTGAGACCCTGCAATTGTGTGTAAATGAGGCAGAAAGTCAGATGAGCAACCTGGGACTTGGTCACAATTTTCGTGATGCCATATGGCAGCAGGGTCTATCATTAGACACCACATTATGCTTCCAATATCTTCCCAGGCGATAGTATCTCCCTGTTTGGTAGCTGCCTACTACCTACTACCTACAAAATTACACCCATAATTTAAGAAAATGCCATAACATTGTACTTGAGTTAATCAATTTGTGACACAAAATAAAAGTACTTCACTTTCAAAATTAATGCCAACTGTCGTAGAATATATTCTTACATGTATAAATCCTTTACCTTTTTTAGAAAGGAATAAACCGAAGTATTTATTTTAATTCTTATCAAAAACACATCAAGCATTAATAGGAATACTGTAGTAACCGCACCAAAACGAATAAGATAATATCAATGGAAATCCTTAAGAATATTTTGTCATCATCTCTATTCTCTCTTTTTTTAATATTCTAAAATGGATTAGGGCGTGGTCAGATGACAGGAAACAGCGAGTAAGCATTAACGGAACTAAATCCGGTTGGGGCAACGTTACTAGTGGAGTACCCCAAGGCTCGGTACTTGGAACATTACTCTTTATTATATACATAAACCACATAGATATAGACGAAGACAGCAACATAAGTAAATTTGCTGACGACGATAAGATAGGGCTTGTAATTAAATCTGACGAGGACTCCGCAAAACAACAGGGAGGTCTAAAAAAATCGCATGGTTTGAAAAAATGGCAGATGAAATTTAATGTGGACAAATGTAGAGTACTTAGTCTAGGAGATGTAAACAGAAAAAACAAATATCAGATGAACAACGTTCTTATAGAGAAATCCGACTGTGAGAAAGACTTAAGAGTAATGGTAACTAGGAATTTTAAACCAAGACAACAATGTGTATTTGCTCGAAACAGGGCTAACAAAGTACTTGGGTTCATACAAAGGAGTGTTAGTTACAAGACTAGCAAGGTTATCCTAAAACTATATCTTGCGCTTGTGAGACCTCACTTGGATTACACGGTTCAGTTCTGGTCACCTTACTACAGAATGGATATAGAATCCCTAGAAAGCATTTACAGGAGAATGACAAGCAGTGGCGTAGCTAGAGTGTGTGCCGCCCGGGGCGGCCCTTGAGTTTGCCGCCCCCCCTCAACAGGTTACAGGTTGTGTGTGTGGCGGGGGGCGCATAGCAAGGGTGTAGCTCATGACGTGGCCGTGATGATGTGGGTCAGGTGTTAGGTCAGACACGACAAGGATTAACTTGCCGCCGATACAAAGGGATGGATTAACGTCTCCAGTAGCTGCAGATATGGGTGATGAGCAGACCCAAAAGTGCCGTCCGGGCGGTCTGCCCTCCTAGCTACGTTAGTGATGACAAGACTAATCCCGGGCATTAGAAACCTCGCGTACAGAGACAGATTAAAGCATCTTAATTTGCACTCCCTCGAGAGAGGTAGAGTGAGGGGCGAATGGTCCAGGTGTATAAATGGAAGTCAGGGTTAAACAAAGATGATATAACAACGGTACTCAAACTATCCAACCAAGAGCGAACTCGTAGCAATGGTTTTAAATTAGACAAATTTAGATTTAGTCGCGAAATAGGTAAACGCTGGTGAGGAAATCGAGTAGTGGATGAGTGGAACAAGTTACCTAACTTCATAATTAACTCGAACATGCTGGATAACTTCAAATATAAGTCGGACGGATATATGAGCGATAGGGGTTGGGCATAAACGGGGCTGCCTAGTATGGGCCAATAGGCACACCCGCTGCAGTTTCCTCCATTCTTATGTTCTTATGAAGATAATGGGGAGTGATGGTGGTGGTATTAATGGGGAGGGAGCTAATACTCAGGTAAACATGGATATGAAGTGTTGTCTTAGATGAATTGACTAACTAAACACTTAAATGTACAGTGCGTCACTTAAGAGTTTTAAGAGATTCCCATAAAGGCAACTGGGGATTTAACCTGGCCTAACCTAACCTATCCTAACCTTACTAAATATAGCTTTATCTAACATATCTTAACCTTACCATACATAGCCTAGCCTAACCTAACCTTACCAAACCTAATCGTGTAAGCTAGATGGCAAAAATAATAGACGATCGCCCAGATGGGAATCGTCCATGTGGGATGAAACCTTACACTAAATTTATGGTTCACACACACACACACACACACACACACACTATGATAACGGTCAGGTGAGAGGTCATTTCCACGTGAGCAAGTCCCCGCCTCGCTATTCACACCCATAGAACGGTGTCGTGTGCAGACCTGTTCGGACTCCTACAGACATTTCCATACGTCATTTAAAATTTTCAAAGCTGGCACGATTTTTTAAATAATTTCAGGGGTCATTTTAAGTTTCAAATGTGGTACAGTTACGGAAATGTGTTCCTACGCCCCCTGTGGTAACCCGTGTCTCCAAACGGCCAACCTATATTACCTATAGCAAACCTGTCCACCAAGCACGTCCGTTGTTACATGACCAATTAAATCTGACGAGGACTCAGCAAAACTACAGGAAGATCTAAAAAAAAATTTCGAATGGTCTGAAAAATGGCAGATGAAATTCAATGTGGACAAATATAAAGTACTTAGTCTAGGAGATGTAAACAGAGAAACTAGATACCTGACGAACAACGATATTATAGAGAAATCCGACTGTGAAAAAGATTTAGGAGTAATGATAAGCCAAGTAAATAATGTGTATTTCCTCGAAACAAGGCTAATAAAGTACTTGGGTTCATTCAAAGTAGTGTTAGTTACAAGACTAGCGAGGTCACCCTAAAACTATATCTTGCGCTTGTGAGATCTCACTTGGATTACGCAGTTCAATTCTGGTCACCGTATTAGAGAATGGAAATAGAATCCCTAGAAAGAATTCAGAGGAGAATGACAAGACTAATCCCGGGCATTAAGAACCTTGAGTACAGAGACAGGTTAAAGCATCTTAATTTGCACTCCCTCGAGAGACGTAGAGTGAGGGGCGATATGATAAAGGTGTATAAATGAAAGTCAGGGCTCAACAAAAGGGACATTACAAAGGTACTCAAACTATCCAACCAGGAGCGAACTCGTAACAATACTACTACTGTAACGTTGCCGGTTGGAGGTGTGGGGTTATGAGATATTGGTTCACACTCAGGATGGGATGGAGAAAGGAAACTCACAATGTGCTCTCTGTATACATATTGTATTGGCTGTACAATGCAGCTTGGTGGCTGGTGCTGGGAGGAGGCAGCGTTGGTTACAAGCGTGGGTAGGGAGAGCTGGTTGGTGAGGGTGCTCAGAGGAGGTGTTGCTTGCTGTGGCTGTAGCTAGAAGAAGGGCAGGTCACGGCCAGGTGAGGTCTTATATAGCGGGGGAAGGCGTGGCTTGATTGTAGACCTCCGCTTTGTTCCGGGGGCGCTGGTTACCTGACCTTGACCACGAGGGATTCGCGGGGGTCGGCTAGTCAGCGACCACGGCGTTTGTAAGGGAGGAATCCACTACAGAGGCACGGGTGACAGGAGGCGTAGAAACACATTTCCGAAATTGTAGTAAGTTGTTGTTTTAACCTATAATATGTAAAGAATTTTAAAATATCAACCGTCAATCTGTGAAATTAGGTGACCTGAACGATGTATAGAAATTCATCTGAGCTGGAAAGACTTTTGCATCGGGGTCACACAAGTGATTTTTGGTTATACGGGTATAGACACAATATCAACGTTTCTTGTACACAAACAAGCTTCTAAACAGTATAGTAACACTCGTAAACCTCTGATAAGACCCTATAAATACTTGTGGATTTAACATTTTTATCGCCTGTCAGTTTACTAGCCGGTCAAGTGGCCGAACAGGAACGAACAAATTTGCACACTGCCTGCTGGATTTGCTGTAATATGTGAACTTATTTATTACCGATTTGACCATTACACTGATAAAAATATATATCCAAACCTCTAGAGGTAAATGCAAAACAATCATGGAAAACTTCAAATATAGGCGATAGGGGTTGGGCAAAAACGGGACTGCCTACTATAGGCCAATAGGCCCGCTGCAGTTCCCCCATTCTTATGTTAATATGAGTATGAGGCGACATAAATAAAACAGATCTAAATAAAATAAAATGACTCGGTACCGGTGTGTACTTATTTAAGGGTTATGATGAAACTTTTTATGGGCTAAATAATAATAATAATAATAATAATAATAATAATAATAATAATAATAATAATAATAATATTACTATTAGTAATCTGCATGATGCGCACCCATAAAATTTAAGACCCTGAAGTTAGTCTCCTGGTTAAAATTATAATATCAGATCATGTCCGTTATAATGCATCACCTGAAGATCGCTCCAGCTTATTAATTTTCACCTGACGATTAAATACTCTGCTTTGGGTAGGTTAGGTTAGATTAGGTAGTTAATCTTATGATGAAATAAGCTTGAAACCTCCGTAAAAAATTTCACTTCAGCTCATGGAAGACCATTGAATTTGTTCCTACCAAGATTCAAGGAAATCCGCAATCTTATTCAAAAGCGATAAGGAGCTGTGCTCACGAGACCATTGATACCCACGGGGTATACGGTAATAGTTACAATAATATTAATAATTCGATTTATTGCAGAGTTAAATGTAACTACCGAATAAAAACAAAACAAGCATGGCACTAAGGAAGCTAGAAAAAATACAGCGGACACATTTAAAGCCAACGTGAAACTGTTGTCTCCTTTTACCGTGTTGGTAACTGGTGGGTGGACTGGATAGATAAAAGCAACCCCACGGCGTACAGTGACAGCGGACTGAGCAGGCACTTGAGGGACGGCAGCAGTGGAGGAAATACGTAAGTAAAATTCCTTTAGATTGGAGCTGTTTCACACTTAGAGTTATAGTAAATTTAGATACTGTGCTTGTGTTATACAGTATTCTTTTGGTTCCAAGTTCTGAGATTTCATCTCTACGATGTTTTATTTTGGTGAAACCTGATATTACTGTATATTGTAAGGCGTTACGAAAATTAGGCTGTGTATATAATAGTGATAATTGTTGGTCAGTGCTGTTGACGAATCTCCTGCTATGGAGCGGAATCACAAAGTTTGCATAATGCATTTAATTAACTGTTTGACCAGTAAAGGCGAAAATCAAACAATATAAAATAGGCCCCCACGGCCCGACAAGCCATTACAGATACTGTACTACCAAAGGATAAAATATATACTGCTCAATTATGCTTCATTATCTCACTAACTGGTTTTCTTTGCCACGTCCAATTTATTAAGTACTCAAAATCACTATTTTGTAAGTCAGATTACAACACTATACGATAACGCATTCACGCTTATAATATATTTGAAACGGTATTCGGTAGGCTACTGTATTTGATACAGTATACAGTACTCTATTTGATGCAGAATACAGTACTGTATTTGATACAGTATACAGTACTGTATTTGATACAGTATACAGTACTGTATTTGATGCAGAATACAGTACTGTGTTTGATACAGTATACAGTACCATATTTGATCAGTATACAGTACTGTATTTTATACAGTATTCAGTACTGTATTTGAAATAGTATACAGTTCTACATTGGATACAGTATACAGTATTGTATTTGATACAGTACTGTATCCTGAATTTCAATGGTACATACTATACTGTGCAGTATATGGAATCATAGGCCAATTCACGGGCGCGCAAGATGGTTTGTGCGTTAGGGCAGCCATGCTGGAAAAGAACATTACCAGAGAAATGACTTATGGGCTCCACGTGAGAATTACATTCCTGGTAAGAAAAGGGCGCGGCATGAATCACTTTTGATCTCGCATTATGTGTACTCGCCACTATGTATACCAAACAACTTTATGGACAAATATTCCTAAATATCAGTCACACTAAATTAAAGCAAGAGATTTTCGTGAGAGATCAGATTCGGGAAGTACTCGTGCACCGTCATACATATATCATATGTAAACATAAATCCAGAAAGACTTTGTTTTAGAGTTGATTCAAGTCAGAATTTATACCATTCAGACTCTGCTTATGTAATTTACACAAATACAATACTACAGGACAGTGTGCTGGGGCTATTGTTGTTTGTTTGTTTCATAAATAACATACCAGAAGCTATACACTCTATCACACAAATGCTTGCGGACGATGCCAAGTTATCCAGCTCAAGGTTGAAGAAGCCACAAGTTCAGAAAACTGTAAGGGCAAACTTTTTCCGAGTGAGAGTTGTGAACTCTTGGAACAATTTGCCAAAGAGTGTTGTCATGGCACCGAATGTGAGCTGTTTCAAGACCAGACTTGACCAGCACTGGAGCGGGTTCAGATACATTCAAGAGCCAGTGCATGCCCAGTACTTGCCAATAGTGCGTAGAAGAGACGTGACCGACCGCCTAAGCGGCTAACGGGCCAATTAGTGGCGATCGGTCACGTCTCTTCTACGCACTATTGGCAAGTATTGGGCATGCACTGGTTCCTGAATGTATCTGAACCTGCTCCAGTGTTGGTCAAGTCTGGTCTTGAAACAGCTCACACTCGGTGCCATGACAACACTTTCTGGCAGGTTGCTCAAAGAGTTCACAATTTTCACTCCGAAAAAGTTTGCCCTCACAGTTTTCTGGACTTGTGGCATCTTCAACCTTGAGCTGTGACCCCTTGTGGAGCAGGTGTCTGCCAGCTCCAGGTATGGACACTCGGCTGAGAAGTGCCCTCTAAGATGTTTATACACCACATTTAGGTCACCCCCTGCCCATCTGTAGTACTGTATATGCCAGACAGTTGCAGGCACTCTAATCTCTCTGGATAACTGAGGTGCCGAAGTGCAGGCACCAGTCTGGTGGCCATCCTTTGGATATTTCAATCAACTGACAGTCCCTAGCATACCTCGGGTACCTGACGGGGCGACAGTACTCCAGGCGAGGAAGCACTTCACTTTTGAAGATCATTACGAAGGACGGATTGAATTGAATTGAAACAGTTTATTTAGCCAGAAAAACACAGATACAGAGTGGATAATAATAACAATATTAACATGGCTGAGCCAGTTGAGAACCGTCTAGATAACTGAACGACCTTCTTATAAGACCTAATAGTTTATTTGCTTGATTCACCTTCTTTTCACAATGGCCCGAGAACTTCAGTTCAGTGTCAACATATACACCTAGGTCCTTTTCACATTCGATCTCTATTAATGCAGTTTCTTCATCCCGTTGGGACATATGATACACTTCCTTACTGTTGGTACGGCCCAGGTGCATCTTCTTACACGTCGTGACACTGAATCTTAGCAGCCATTTCTTCGACCATTCTTGAAGCTCAGAGGTTCTGCAGCTCTACGCAGTCTGTTTGGTTCTTAAATTCCCTAAACAGCTTGACATCGTCCGCAAACATTTGTATGGAGTAGAATACATCTTCCGGCATGTCATACATGAAGCAAACAACAACGGGCCCAAAACACTGCCCTGTGGTACCCCACTTGTCACTGGTACACAGGGCGATTTCATACCATTAATTAACACACTACTTGTGATCACGCAGTCTCTCTCATCCATGCTAGTACATCTTCCCCGAATCCCGTACCCTTCCAGTTTAATTCTCAGCCTTTCATGGGGCATGCTGTCAAAAGCCTTGGCAAAATCCTGGTATATATTGTCGATATTGCCACTCTGTTTCAGAATTTTGGTCCAAACATTGAGTAATTGTGTTAAGCAAGAGCGTCCTGGCATAAAACCTTTTTGGCAATCCTTTACAAGGTTGTTCCATCATGGTATCTCTTATAATGCTCTCAAGTACTCTCCATACTATGCTGGTCAGGCTAGCCTGTCTATAATTATTCATGGAGTGACGATCCCCCTTCTTGAATATAGGACTCACATATGCCATTTTCCAATCGCTAGGGACTTTTTGATCATTACAGTACAGTACTGTTTGTTATTATTATCATTAAACTTATTGTTACGCTTATTTTATTATTACTTCAACTTAGCAAATGTCCACAGTTAGCTGCATTACCTCTACACTTGAGAACTGTAGATGAGTAAAGGGTAACAGATTTTAATATCTAACAATTTCAGGATGGTTCGCCAAATATTATTAGTGCTGGTGGGCGTGGTGGTGGCAGCTGGCATGCCCCTAGCTGATGATCCCAGTAAGTATCTACACAACCTGCCACTACTTATTTCAGCAGCACTCCAGTGCAGTACAGTATACTTGCAATAAATAGACTTGGCTATGGAGCTTTAGCCAGCCAGGCTGTGATAGGTTGGAGCAGGCATGTAACATTATTTTTGTAATAGGTGACAGTAGACAACATAAATGAACAAAATTTAACCTAACATTCCTAGCTAAATTAAATTTGGGTGGGTTCATAGGGTTTGCTTTAGACAGACGTGTTCCAATCAATTACAGCATGGATAACGGGCGGTCTTCATACTTGTCTCATAGGGTACCATTACCTACCCTCAAAGTAGTTGGTACAGTACAATACTACAGTATCTGCCTTTAAAGTACCATTGACTTAATTCCTACTACCAACTGCCACTTAGCTGCCATTAGTTATTCCTATTCTGCCAATACTGTAATTACTCTGTTGGTTAACATTGAGAACAAAAAAGGGTTAATATTCGTCCATTAGCTGTCCGCAGGTTTCCAATTTTCAATATTACAGACACAAAGACTATAAAAAAACATACTGTACATATGGACTTCATAATAATTCTCTCGTCCTCTCCTCCTCTTTGCGACATGACAACCAATGAACATCAAGTATCGTGTCATGTGACTTGGCTGGCAATCATTTTGAAGCAGCCAATTTTAATGGTCGTGATGGCATGCGAAAAGTTCTCTTCCCTATCGAGCTGTTATTCATCGAGTTTATCAGAACAATAGTGAAGCAATCCAAATATTATAAGATCAAGGTGTCCCACCAACATCAAGACTGTGTCCTACGTGTGGAAATTGTTTACTTTTAAGAAAAGATCGAAATTTTGTCTGTAACCAAAAGCATACCAGATCGCCCAACTGTATCCTCCAGCACAGTAGCAGGCAAGCTTAAAAAATGGTTAGGTTAGGTTTTCATGGTGTGTTTTACTCAAACGTGACCACCGTTTTGGTACAAATTAACGGTTTCTGCTACAAATGAAAATGTTCAGTTTTTCAAAAACTGCTAATTTGCACCAGAAATGAAGATCAGATTTGAGTAAAACACACCATACATAATCCACCAAAAAACCTATTTTTGTATCAAAACCTGAGGACAGCCAATGGACGAACAATTACCCAAAAAAATTTACTATAAAAAATACCACTACTTTTCCAGACAGATACGGGCTAATTTCACTGTTTTTACAGACAGTTATACAGTAGGTTGTTCTCAATACTCTTCCAGACAGCCATGGGTTGGACTTTGTATTGAGGAACTTGACAGCCTTATGGGGGGAGGTGAAGGACCTGCGTCAAGAACTGGATTACCACATTCATCATGGTCTAAGTGACTCTCACCAAAACTTAAATGAGGTGAGTAATGGTGTTGCAAAAGCCATTTTGTAGGTTGCTTTTAGTAAATAGTCCCCTCTGTCACTTCTACACACGTCTTGCACTACTCTTCCCAACAATATCCTATGCCTTGTAATTTTCTTGAAGGTTTTGTCTCCCCCCAAAATTGGGAAAGGAATAAAATTAACAGATGGAACTTTTAATATGAATACCCTGTAATGTATAATCATATGCTGAACTGTACAGTACATGCTAATCAATGCAGCAGTGTATGTAAATGACCAGAACATCGTGACAAGGGAGTTATGGGGAGATTTTTTTTCCGTGCAAAAGTCCAATACAGTCATCAAGATGAGGCAGGACTAGATGTTTGAAAGCTCTTAGAACAGATAATCTAGGTATACTATATATAAAACCTTTATTAATTCAACTACAGTACTATATAGTGTATTGTATTTATTAGCAAGCATCCTTGCTCCATTTAAAATATATCTCGATTAAGGATATGTCTTCATCCATTGAGAGGTGGAATATATTTTTACTCTTATTACAACCAAGGTGTATCTTTGTGTTGAATCTCAGCAAACGTTCTTGATATTCCACTGAGATTATCATTGTAGGGCTTCACATAATAGAGCTCAGCAGATTTATAATTTCCCTGAATAGCTGAGCATTATCAGCAAACACAAGATTGGATGAATGAACAGCATCTAGCATTTGTAGTACTTTTACCTTTATCCTCTTCGCCACAGATCGGCTTGTTAGCCACTTGGGTGATCGGTCACGTCTCTGTTACGCACCGTTGGTAAGTACAGTACTGGGCATGCACCGGCTCCTGATTGTATCTGAACCAGCTCCAGTGCTGGTCAAGTCAGGTCTTGAAAGAGCTCACACTCTCTGGCAGGTTGTTCCAAGAGTTCACAACTCTCACTCCGAAAAAGTTAGCCCTCACAGTTTTCTGGAATTGCAGCTTCTTCAACCTTGAGCTGTGACCCCTTGTGGGGCGAGTCCACCAGCTCAAGGTAAGGCCACTTGACTGAGTTGTGCCCTTGAGATGTTTATACACCTCAATTAGGTCTCCCCTTGCCCATCTGTAGTATAAGCTAGGCAATTGCAGGCGCTCTAAGCTCTCTGGGAAGCTGAGGTGTCGAAGTGCTGGCACCAGTCTGGTGGTCCTCCTTTGGACATTTTCAATCAACTGACAGTCCCTAGCATACCTCGGGGACCAGACGGGGTGACAGTACTCCAGATGGGGAAGCACCTCGTTTTTGAAGATCATTACGAGGGACGGACCGTCTAGATATCTGAACGACCTTCTTATAAGACCTAATAATTTAGTTGCTTGGTTCACCTTCTTCTCACAATGGCCCGAAAAAGTCAGTTCATTGTCAACATACACACCCAGGTTCTTTTCGCATTCAGTCTCTAGTAATGCAATTTCTTCATCCCGTTGAGACATATGATATGCCTCCTTACTGTTGGTACGACCCAGGTGCATCCTCTTATACTTCGTGACATTGAATCTTAGCAGCCATTTCTTTGACCACTCTTGAAGCTCACAGAAATATTTCTGCAACTCTTCACAGTCTGCTTGGTTCTTCATTTCCCTAAATAACTTGGCATCGTCCACAGATATTTGTATGGAGGAGTGTACAGTTTTTGGCATCTCATTAATGAAGCAAACAAACAACAGCAGGCCCAGTAAACTACCCTGTAGTACCCTGCTTGTGATGGGTACACATGGTGATTTCATTCCATTAATCACCACACACTGCTTGTGGTCATGGAGAAAGTCTCCGATCCACGCTAGGACATTTCCCCGAATCCCGTACCCTTCCAGTTTAATTTTCAGCCTTTCATGGGGTACACGGTCAAAAGCTTTGGCAAAATCTAGGTATAATTGTCGATATTGCCACCCAATAACAGAATTTGGGTCCAAATATCCAGGACCTGGAGTAATTGTGTAAAGCAGGAGCACCCCGGCATAAAACTGTCTTGGCACTCCTTATAATGCTCTCAAGTACTTTACATACTATGCTGGTTAGGCTCACCTGTCTATAGTTATTCATGGAATGATAATCGCCCTTGTTGAAAATAGGACTCACATAAGCCATTTTCCAATCGCTGGGGACCTTTTGCTCATCCAGGCATTTACAGAACATGATCTTCAGGGGCTCAGCAAACTCGGTGCACAACTCTTTTAGCACTCTGGGATGCACCATGTCAGGGCTGGAACTTTTATGAACTTTAGCTAAGAAAATTTATTTCTTTTTAACCTCTTCTGGGAACACAATGTGGGTCAGTGTTGTGTTGAACAGTTTATCCTTAAACACAGGAAGATTGTTGGCATCCTCTCTTGTGAACACCGAGGGAAAGTAATTGTTCAATGCCTCTGCCTTGTCCTGGTCAGAATTTGTGTAACTACCCTCTTCAAGCCTCGGGTCCGATGCGCCTACTCCCATTTTTAATTTCGACTTTGCGTAGCGGTAAAACGCATTTGGGTTTGACTTTACCTCTCTCACAATCTGCCTCTAGAACTCTTTTTCAGTCCTTCTACACTTTGATTTCGCTTGGTTCCTGGATCTGCCATACATCCTCCTGTCCTGCTCATCATTTGTCCTAACCCACTTCTCGAATTTCTGGGTTTTCTTCATAACTTTGTCGACTGCTGCAGGGTTCATGTGTAACGGTCTCTTTGTATTCCTGGAGGCACTGGGTTTGGTCTTGGGTATATATTTCTCGATCAATTGGTTCACTTTACTCGCTATGATATTCAGCGTAGTGTCTGCGTTCTTATACCTTAGTGAGTCAGGCCAGTGGATACCCCTCATCCCGCTGTAATTTCCCTTGTAATATTTGCACCATGGCCTGGTTTTGTCATGAACCAAGTAACAGTTAAATCTGAAAGACAACGTCACTTGGTGACTGGTGCCAACGGGGGCTAGATGTTCCAGCTTGGCCACCACACCCTCGTTTGTTATGATGAGGTCTCGTGGCTTGGGTGTTTGCTCCCCTCTGTAATGAGTCAGGTCTTTAACATGTTGGAACAGAAAATTATCTCTCACAGTTTCTACAAAAAGAGTAGCGGGGTTATTTAAGTCATTTGGCATGGTCTCATTTCTCCAGTCGTTGTCGTCATAATTAAAGTCCCCCTTGACAAGATGGTGGCTAGGGTTGAGCACCGTTACATTGTCTATTAAGGATCTTAAGTTCCTTTGGTTTAATAAGTTACAGTTTGGGGATCTGTAGATACACTCGACAATAAGTAAGTCTCTCCCCTTTAATTTAATTTTACACCACTTGGACTCTTCAAAAACATCCCCTCCCTGTACCCTCACCTGGTTGGCTCTAAGGTCTTGCCTAGCATAGCTAACCACACCCCTCTTGCAAGTTGCTTGAGAAAGGTTTGTAAATGAGTCATATCCGTCAATACTGAACTCACATTCCTCCGGGTCGATTCTCCTGTTCTTGTACAACAGTTCTACAACACCTACTATATCGGGTTGATGTACCTTTAGTAGTGTTTCAAACTCCTCTCTCTTATCAAGGAACGTGTCAATATTAGCGTACATGACTTTCAAGCCGGAATTTGTTCTCAGTAACGTCTCTGCTCTTGGTAGTGACTCCGGCCCTCCTCCATTCTCAGCAGCTGCAGCATTTGCTAAATACATTGTATTTTGGAAAGTGGTCAGAGATGTCATTGTTTACATAGTGCCCACCTCCACCTGGGTGGGAGGTAGGGCAGGTGGGGGTGTCTCTCCATCCCTTAGCTTTGTACTATCGCTCTTGCTTCCACTGCCCTCCCCCTGGATATAACCCATGTACACCAGTCCTCCTCGACTCCTTCCTCCTCTGCTTCTTGCCCTATAGGAGTTTCCTGTGCTGTTTCCTCTGCATTACTTGGCATATGGCAGTGGTTTTATGGTTGTATTCCAACAGCCTACAGCTCCAGACGAGTATGGAGAATATTTCAATATACAATCGCGAATAACATTAAAAATTTTACATCACTTAGACGATCTTAATGCTCTTATGCTCAACAACGAAGGCTCAAGTGCCAACACACTTTGTTACAGAGATGCAACATGACACAACCCGCACTTGTCTTTATATCTACTACAGGGAAGCCGCATTACAGTACAGTATATAAATTGGAACATTATGTTACAGCTACCAGAATCTTATGTCTAATAAGTAACATAAACAGATGGTGGTACATGCCATGACTTGAACAAAATGATCAATAATTGCCAATCCATGTGGTTACTGCTCTATTATAAAATATTTAGCTTCCTGGCTCAAAATGTGCATGCAAAATTGCTCAGATAAGTAAAAGAATTTACATAAACAACAAGGAATCACTGAATACACCACTTTCACAAGTGCTTTGGGTGGCATCTGGAGATGTATTAGTAGTGCACAACACAAAATTAATAGCTGGTTTTAGAGAAGGAAAAGTGATTCTACATGAACAGTTGAATATTCAGAGCTCTGAATTTGTTTTTTAAGTGTGTTGCTCTATACAAAATAAAACATTGTGCTATCAGAATCCCCTGACATTGGAAAAGTGTAATTACTTTATACTGTAATTTATTGCAGATTTTATCAGAGGTGCAGACTCTTCAACATGAACACCATGTTCACCATCTGCAACATCCTCATGAGGGACATAAACATAATGAGGCTGCATTACAGTGAGTACTCCATCACCCTTTCTCCTTTATTTCTCTTAATCTCTTCTTATCATTTTAATTATTCCATTTACTGTACATTAATGCTTTGGCCCCTGAGAGATAAGTGGTATTGGTTTAAACTGTAGGTCAGTAGTGACACTGCTATAGCAGATTGGTCTCCCCTGTGTACACAGTACTGTAGGTGGTGTTTCATTGAATCTTCAGAAATATTGTTGATGATTCCTGGCAAATCTAACAGAACATAGTACTGTATCTACAATCAACAAAGTGTGACAGTGGTGAAGACTATATACTAGTGCATTGTAATTCTCCATCACAAAGTTACATTGAAGTGTTCCCAGGTGGATTACCAATTAGCCATGTCCGAAACACAATTTTTCCCCTAAGTTATGTTATTTGCTGCATGAATATTCACTGTATGAATGGGTTTCAAGGAACCTAACCCATTCATACAGTATACTGTACTGTAGTGAGAGATACCTGTACTAGACACTTCAAAATCTTAAACTAGCAAATGAGTACTGTACTTACATTAGAACTTATCAATGATAATGTATTAAAAGGTTGCTCACTGTCTTTTAAGAGCAATTAGGTGAGGGGATGTTCCAGAATTTGATTTCAAGTTTGTCTAAGCAGATTCATAAATCTAAGTACATGTACTGTACAGTACAGGTAGATATTAATATAAAGGATAGCTACAGCATTTCTCAGTAGTGACATTACCATAAAGTCGTTGTCTTAGCTTTGATAAAAAAAAAGAGTACTGCATCTAAAAACTGTCTTAACCTATTCATATACTGTATGATCACACTATTTGTTATTTCCGACAGGCATTTAGAGACATTCCATGGACATGCCCATGGAGATCATGACCACCATGGTGACGATCACACTCATGAACATGGCGACGATCACACTCATGAACATGGTGACGATCACACTCATAAACATGGTCACCATCACACTCATGAACATGGTGATGATCACACTCATGAACATGGTGACGATCACACTCATGAACATGGTGATGATCACACTCATGAACATGGTGATGATCACACTCATGAACATGGTGATGATCACACTCATGAACATGGTGACGATCACACTCATGAACATGGTCACCATCATACTCATGAACATGGTGACGATCACACTCATGAACATGGTGACGATCACACTCATGAACATGGTCACCATCACACTCATGACCATAAGCAACACAGCAAAGGAGATGACAATGATAGTGAAGAAAACAGTTTGGAGGAAGAGGTGAGTTTCAGGTGGTAAATGTGTAAACATTGTATGAATCCTCACCAATATTTGCTCCTTAGTTAACAATGATGACTATATGACATTTTTCCTTGCATTTTGTCCCAGTGGGAGTTTAGTCTCTGTGAGAGGAAGTTAGCAATAATTCGTTTTATCAATTGTGCTGTATAGTATCACAACCTGTTGAAGATACAATATTGCATTGAGATGTACAAAATTTATCAGTGCATGCTCAACCTCAAGGTTAAATGTTGTCAGAGAAAAGTTTTGTCTGCTTTATGCCTTTGCATCCAGTTTAGACATTGCAGTGAAGCTTTTTATGCTTTCATATATCACTAATGAATGTATAGTCTCACCCAAAAGTTGGTTAACTCTCCCAGCCAGCTATTACTCCACTGTCTGCTTCAGATGTATGAACTTGAGTCTGTTACTTCGAACCTTTAGATTCATTCATATCGGTTTCATGTTCCAGTTTGTACTAAGACAGTTTCAAACATCTGAAGCAGGCAGTGCAGCAATAGCTGGCTGGGAGAGTTTACGAATATTTGGGTGAGACGTACAACATTTATGACTGTCTTTTTAAACTCAATGTCAGAACTCAAAGTCATCGCCAAATTGTGAATGATTGTGTATCAAATCTTTAACTTCGCAACTGGTCTGCTTTTATATTATCATTTTGGGAAGTGTCCAATACTGTACATCATTAAAGACCACATACTCAAGGTACTTTTAATGTACATAAGATTCATTAGTTATTCTTCATAAGAGAATTCATAGAAACTAAAGTTGGAGTAAATCATAGTGCAGAAACTGACAATTTCACCAATAATGTAACACAGTACAATACAGGAGGTCCCCGACTTACGAATGAACGCCTATACAAATGGGGGTTAAACTTTAAATTTTCAGTACTGTATTTACGTGATGACTTATTTTTTAGTTTAATTTATTGTATTTTGTCATAAATGCCAGGTAGCGACGTGTCCTAATATTACGTATTTAAGTAATTATTGCCAGTATGTTGGCCTGGCGCGTTAATGCTAGGCATTTACATAAGTAGGTATAAAGCTAAACGTCGCATTCTGGATTGAACAAAAATATAAGAACTTTTGGACCACTCTGTACAGTATACAGAATGAACCAACATACTACTACTGTAAATTCTTCTTTTTAATTCTGACATACTGTAATTATTTCAATGTTTATGTATTTTTTTTTTAAATACTAATCTCCATCATTACCTCAGGGCAAGGTTCACTCTCATGATGATGACCACCACCACCATGATGGTGAAGATCACTCTCATGATGATGACCACCACCATGATGGTGAAGATCACTCTCATGATGATGACCACCACCACCATGATGGTGAAGATCACTCTCATGATGGTAAAAATCACTCTCATGGTGGTAAAGATCACTCTCATGATGACCACCACCACCAAGAATATGATACCCATAATTTCCATGGGTTGAATCCAAATCCTCACCACCATGATTTTGGAGATGGTCACTCCTATGAAAGTGATCACTATACACATGGTAAGGAGTGGGTCCATGCCAGCTGCCAGCTGGAACCCAATGTAGACCTGCCAGAGTCTCACGTGAGGGGCGCCATTCATATTTCTCGACGGGTGAGGTTTATCTTTTGTTTTTTCTCCCAGCTACACATCCAGTTGTTCTCAGATGTTTTACAAGTTTTGGTCACTGTTTTCTTTGTAACAACAGAAAAATAAGTACACAGTAAATCCTCAATTTATGAGAATTCTATCTATACTATACCATATAATATTCTTAGATAAGAAACTTAGAAACATGTAATGTCTCTTCTATAAAATGCATGTTTTGGTACTAACATTATTAATATCCATTACAGAAGGATGGTTCAGGGCCCATCTTCTATGATGTTAATGTTGAAGGATTTGATGTAACCAAGGTATGTAAAAATAACTTCAAAAGAAAACAGTCTTGACGAGGGTGAAGTTATCACCACCAATCTTGAGGGAGATTGTAATAGGGTCTTACATCCTTAGAGGTTGTGAGATTATTTGTTTTGTTTTTTTATGATATTCACCACTTATCTTACTAGCCATTCAGGGGATTGATCTGCTCTTTGTTACAGCATTCATTATCCAGTGTTAGTAGAAGAGGAAACCGATATAACACTCTTCTCGCATCCCACCCAAGCGATTGAACCTGAGACACAGTAATGAGAGGCATGTGAGCTACTGCAATACTATACAGTACTATCAACACCTCTTTTTAGATTGTGAAAAGACCTTCCCCTTGGAGGTTTGAGTGTTACCAGAACATGGTAGTCTCCACTCTCATGTGCAAAAAATTCCATGTTTATGCATTTATCTTTAAGTCAAACATGTGAAGTATCCCCAAACATCATCATCCCCTGGTCAAGATAATACCAATAAGAAACATTTTCAAGCTTTCAGGGGAGCACAAAATGTCTGTAAAATGTTTAAAGATAATTTGTGTGTCCATCATAGTTTTAACATAAAGGACAGACCACACAGTACTCAACAGATATGGTGGTGCTCACAATTCTTTACAGTCCTGTAATACCCCATAAACTCATTCAAGAATATCACAAGAAGCTTTGGTTATGATGAAGGTTGCCTTAGCAGTTATATTATTTATTGTTATAAGGATGTGGATAAGGAAGGGAAAAGAATAAATATTTAGATAGATACTATGTGATTATAATACTGAAAATGGGAAAGGAAACTGCAACAGTGGAGAAAGAAAATGGTAAGCACCTGTACAGTCACACAGGCTAACGTTTGCTCCCATGGTGAAACTGAGTTACAGGAATGAGTCTCCGAACTGACTTACTATGACTGTCTTCTGGTGCAGTTGTGCTGTTTTATCCTGTTTGGGGTCGATGTTGCTTCATTTTGGGAGGGAATGAACGTTTGACCCCACCTGTACAAGGAACATTATGCAATACCTGTACATAGAAAATTGGAAGTGAGGGGAAGCACTATTGGTATAAACTGGAAAACAAAACTCCAGGGAAGCAATATATGGAAATAGGGAACTGCTAATTAGGGGAAGCAAAATAAATTGAAAATGTGAAACTACTTATCAAAGGGAAGCATTTATACAGTACAGGTAATTGGAAACTGGTAAATTATATATTGTGGGAAACTAACAAAGAAAATAGAAAACTTTTAATCAAAGGGAAGATGTATAGATAGTGGGAGAATTCTAATTACTGAAAGGGTAATATTAAGTGTGAATAACTCCTATAGCTAACCCTCAAACACGGGTCACTCTTGTTTTAATGCTAGACCCTGATTTTTTTTTAAGGAAATATGACACTTAACATTTAAACATTTAACTTTGATGGTTGTGTACATAAGAGTACATTTACTATATTTAATCTCATTTGCAAACATTCAACAGGTAAAAACCATGAGTCAGAGCAAGTGTAAAATATTGAAGTCTACCCTCCAGGCCAAGTGTAATGTTCCAATAAGGATGATCAAGTGTTATTGTATTAATATTAAATGTGAAGTGTTATTAATATTAATAATCTAAATTAAAGTTTTCAACTTCAATGCAGAATGGTCGTGTCTTTGGTTTCCATGTCCATGAGCAACCTACCCAGGAGCAACACTGTAATGATGTTGGTGGTGTTCTCAAGCCTCTTCCTGGTTTCCCTGGCGAGTAAGTGTCTTATTCTGCAGTGGCTTTAAGGGTCAGGTGTTATCAGTCAGTACTTTGAATAGATACCAAAGTAAAAATACTATATACTATACTCTCAACACAAGAGTACTGTACTATCAAATATGACATCTCTGCAGCACTACCTCTAAGGTGAAGGAGGGCTGTTTCTTCAACACTTTTTAGTACTTGTTGAACATGGCGGTGGGAATTATGGTCACGTAGAGCTATCTATCACACCTTAAGTAACTGCATCAAGCAGGAGTGTCAAGGCATAAAACAATGTTAGCATTCTTTTACAAAGTTGTTTCATCATAGATGTTCCACCATGGTATCTCATATAATACTTTCTAGTACAGTACATTATAACTATGCTGGTAAAACTCACCAGCCTAAAATTATCCGTGCACCGGTGATCATCCTGTTTGTGTTTAGGACTCACATATGCCATTTTCTAATGATCAACATATACAACACAGTACTTGTTTAATACAGTATTTTCAAATATGTGACACTCTTACCTCAAAAGTTACTAGGCTAGCCAGGGACCAAATAATCATACCGAATTGTTCAAAATGCAACAGTTGTGGTAATCATCCTTAAAGGGTTGATGTTGATGGTGTCATGTTTGAAAAAATTATACCCTTAAGTTAAATTTAGGATGATGACAGATGACCTTTTCACTCACATACTGGTGCAACTGGATCCCCTATTCCTGACAGTAGCACACTAAATAACTAGATCCCTGCAATGTGCAAAATTGTATTATGTAAAAATAATTTTCTTATAAGAAACAATGTACTGTACAGTGTACAGTATTAAGAGAGGGATGTGTTCCTGGGCTGGGAATTTTAGAGGTACAGTATTTGGCACGATTTTTTTTTGTTAATGAAACACTTGTAACTCACTAAAATACATAAGAAATAAAGAGCATACAGATCTACCAGTATAGAAAATCTCACAGCCATTCCTCAACTGGAAAGCTGACACCCACCACAAGAGCCAGCCACCACCATCTACTGTATATTCATCTTACCACTATGATATTAAAAAAAACAATAAAGACTTATTGCCAGTAAGTCACTGGGTTTGTAATAAATGTAAGAATGTGTAGAGAATTATGAATTTATGGTAATGAGTGATTTATTGAGATGAATGTTTTCTCCTTCTTAATCACTGCATCGTGTGATGCATCTCAGCACAGCTAGGAGGTTCTCATTGATTATTGCCGAGATGAATTTTTTTAATGATAGTATATATATATATATATATATATATATATATATATATATATATATATATATATATATATATATATATATATATATATATATATATATATATATATATATATATATATATATATATACAAACATGTGATAATCTAATATTTTGATCATAAAATTTAAACTGTAATAAACTGAAACTGCATTAAACGAGGATTACAAATATTTTATTTAAAATAAAATTGGTTTAGTGCAATCACATCAAGAGCTAATATGGAAAAATCATAATCATCATGAAAATTATACAGTAGAGGCAGTTCAAAGTTCACCCATCACAAATGAACTCATTGATTATGCATAGGCTAGTCTTCCAAAGGCATTAACCTGCAACTTTGTATAATTTCAAGCTTTATATCATATACCATTTTCATATAAGAATTAGTGTGCATCAGAATGATAACTATTTCATATTTTCCTTCATCATTGCAGGCACTTGGGAGCTGTAGGAGACCTGACTGTGGACAGTGAGGGGAAACTACGACATGTAATTATTGCAAGTCTTGATGAAGATTTGAGTGGGGAGAAAAATATTGTTGGCTACCCTCTTGTGGTGAGTTCAGCCCACTTACTTTTTGTCTGTATAAACGTTTGTTACAAAATGAGATGAATAGTTGGGGTAAAATATTTACCATACAAAACCAAATCTCATGTTGATCACCCTTTTAATCACTTTATTTACAGCTCTCCTAGTACACATATACTTCTCATTACAGTACTTTTATGAAAGTAAAGTGCTCACTATTCTTAGCAGGTTGGAAACTCAGGTAGACCTAAAGCATTAGTGGTCAGGTAATAACTACTGATCAGATCGAGCCCTAGAACTATTTCAGGATACATTCTACCTGTCAACTACAACCACTACCCTTAAAAAGAGAACTGGAATCAATGGTCACTATTTAAAGAAGACGACTGCAAGTCATGGTGTCACACTACTAACACACCCACCTGTCAGCTGTTACACATGCCAGACAATTTAATTCAGCTCATAAGGGACTCTATATACAAGCGGTTAAGCAGACTTGTCAGCCAGCAACAGTCTTGAAACTTGTAGCTACGCACAGTACAGTACTGTATTGCAGCTTCATTATTCTGCATATGAGTTTATTGACTGGGCTACACAATTTTTAGTGTTGTATGAAAAGCAAGAGGCAGCATAGTCTTGAGTCTGAACCAGTGTTAACTCAGGAATTGTATCAGGAGGAGGAATTTGATTTTGTAAACTGTACCTTAGTGTACACAGGTGATTTTGTTGGCCATTTGTTACAAATGGGTTGTTCCTGGTGTGATCTAGAACAATGTAAAGAAGATTCTGCTTTGGTAATTGGTCTGGGTGGTTATTAGACTATACACTAGTAGGAATGAGCAATCCTGCCCAGCACGGGAGCACTTTGCAACACAATTTGTGTCAAAAGACAACAAGATGTTTAATACAGTAATGTGCAGTACTTCTGAGTAATTGAAAAGTAACATTAAAACAATTTAAAGTTCTCCTAGTTGGCTGGTTGTCAAGGATGCCCAGCCTTGTACCAATCTAGGCTTGAATTTTTTTAAGGTGCAGAAGTTGCCACCATTAAAACAACCACACCCTGAGTTCACAAGAAGTATGACACAGTGTCAAAAGTAGCTTATGAAGACACTTGCCAACTGCACTGGATTGTACTCTGTCAAGTGATTAACATCCAGGTCCCCAATTATTGCTGGGTAGACAAGAAGCAAATGATATAAAGAATCTTGAACACGGTCTCATCCTTCCTTGGGGAATGAACCTAAGGCCACTGACTTGTGAGGTGGGCATGCTAAACACACCACCACCACCATCCTTTTACCTAAGTTGGAAGTTACTTATTTTCAAAGTGACTGTACATTTCCTGGCACAATTTTCAGAGATTCCTTAAAATTCATTCACACCTTCCTATTGTGTTCTTTCTAGTTTTACTATTATATTATTTCTACAGGTTCATGATCTTGGTCTGGGCGATTCATCCAGCAGCTTGTACAATGGTCACTTGGCTTGCTGCAACATCCACATGGAGCCTGAACAGCACAGCCATGCTTCAGGCCACTAAATAGTCTCTCAAATTAATTCACTAATGTACATGTAACAACATAAACTTGTTTATTTTAGAGATTTCTGTTGTCAAAATTGTTTACCAAATATATCAGCACCACTGAAAAGTATCATTTGTTTCTTTATCACAAGACCTCAGATGAGAGCAGTTGAAGTTAACACCTGAATTTTGGTCACTTTTACTTACTTACTTTTATCCTCTTCGCCACTGATCAGCTCGTTAGCCACTTGGGCGATCGGTCACGTCTCTGATTACTTTTCCTTTTCATTTATCCTCTTCACCAAAAGATCGGCTCGCTAGCCGCCCGGGCGATCGGTCACGTCTCTGTCACGCACTGTTGACAAATACTGGGCATGTACCGGCTCCTGAATGTACCTGAACCCGCTCCAGTGTTGGTCAAGTCTTGTCGTGAAAGAGCTCGCACTTGTGGATGGTAGTTATGCAGATTCTGACCAGGATAAAGCTGAGGCATTGAACAGCTTCTTTTACTCGGTGTTCACAGGAGAGGATGCAACTAACCTTCCTGCGTTTGAGGACAGACGGATCGACACAGCACTGACCCACATTGTGTTCACAGAAGAGGGTATTAGAAATAAACTGTCCAGGCTAAAGGTCCATAAGAGTCCCGGCCCTGACATGGTGCATCCTAGAGTGCTAAGAGAGTTGTGCAACGAGCTTGCAGAGCCCCTGAAGTACTTGAGAGTATTATCAGAGATGCCGCAATGGAACATCTAATACGAAACAATTTTGTAAAGGATTGCCAACACGGTTTCACGCCGGGGGCGCTCCTGCACAACACAATTGCTCAAGGTATTGGATATTTGGACCCATATTCTGGAACGGGGTGGTAATATCAATAATATTTACCTAGATTTTGCCAAGGCTTTCGACAGTGTACCGCATGAAAGGCTGAAAATCAAACTGGAAGGGTACGGAATTCGGGGAAATGTCCTAGCATGGATAGAAGACTTTCTACATGACCGCAAGCAGTGTGTTCTGATTAATGGCACGAAATCGTCATCCGTACCTGTCACAAGTGGGGTACCACAGGGGCGTGTATTGGGCCCGCTGTTTTTTGTTTATTCCATAAATGACATGCCTGACATTGTACACTCCTCCATACAAATGTTTGCCGATGACGTTAAGTTATTTCGGGAAATTAAGAACCAAGCAGACTGCGAAGAGCTGCAGAAGGACCTCTGTGGGCTCCAAGAATGGTCGAAGGAATGGTTGCTGAGATTCAATGTCACGAAGTGTAAGAGGATGCACCTGGGGCATACCAACGGTAAGGAGGCATATCATATGTCCCAACAGGATGAAGAAACTGAACAAGTTGAGACTGAATGCTAGAAGGACCTAGGTGTGTATGTTGACAATGAGCTGAAGTTCTCGGGCCATTGCGAGAATAAGGTAAACCAGGCAAATAAATTATTGAGTCTTATAAGAAGGTTGTTCAGATATCTAGACGGTCCATCCCTCGTAACGATCTTCAAGAGTGAAGTGGTTCCCCATCTGGAGTACTGTCAACCCGTCTGATACCCGAGATACACTAGGTACTGTCAGTTGGTTAAAAATGTTCAAAGGAGGGCCACCAGACTGGTGCCTGCACTTCGGCACCTCAGCTACCCTGAGAGATTGGAGCGCCTGAACTTGCCTAGCTTACATTACAGACGGGCAAGGGATGATCTAGTTGAGGTGTATAAGCATCTCAGGGGGCACTACTCAGTCGAGTGTCCTTACTTGGAGCTGGCGGACGCTCGCCCCACAGGGGGTCACAGCTCAAGATTGAAGAAGCTGCAAGTCCAGAAAACTGTGAGCGCAAACTTTTTCGGAGTGAGGGTTGTAAACTCTTGGAACAATCTACCAGAGTGTTGTGATGGCACCGAGTGCGAGCTCTTTCAAGACCAGACTTGACCAACACTGGAGCGGGTTCAGGTACATTCAGGAGCCGGTACATGCCCAGTATTTGCCAACAGTGCGTGACAGAGACGTTACCTATCGCCCGGGCGGCTAGCGAGCCGATCTTTTGGTGAAGAGGATAAAAGTAAAAAAGAGTATTTACCGAGTGCAAAGTGTCAGTCAGCTGTTCAGGCAGCCTTTTTGACTGCGTTCATCCACATTCCTGCTGCTTGTTTGAGTGACCTTGGCCTTTGTGCCCCCCACCCTCATTTTTTTACTCCCTCTCGCTTGGTGCGGTGTTCTCGCCCAGAATAATGGCCTAAAAAATACCTAGGGGTATTGAAGGGGATGATAGTGGTGGTGAAAGACCGTCTGCCCACCCGGGCGGTTCAAATGATGATGAAAAATTCTCATGAATATCGAGTTGGGAAGAAAATGAAAAAGTATTCATTTGAGGATAAGAGAAAGGTTGTAGATATGATTGAGCATTTGATCTAGTGGTGGCAGTGGCAATGGTGGAGGAGGGAGGAGTGGAGAGACTGGAGGCCCAGGAGAGGGGCGAGTGACAGGCGACGGATGTTAGCCTTCCTTCCCCAGCTCAGTGTACATTAAGCACCTCCACTTTAATTTTAAGGTTGGTTTTCTATGTTTATGTTGATTAACCAATAATTCATTATCTTTAAGCAATAAAATATAGGTTATATGTGGGTAAAATAGGAAAAAATTGAGACTGTGTGGCCTCTCGATACCAATGAGGATTTTCCCATTGGATTAAGGCCTCTGGTTTGGTGAGGTTTTTTCGGCACTAATTAGTCGCCAAACTGGAGGTTTTACTGTATTTGTATATGTTTAAGTTATATTATCTTGTCTTATTGGCAATAAAGTGTGACGTGATAGAGCAAAACAATTTATTTTTTTAAATCCTTGATAAAAAACGAATCTGAATCATGTCTCGGTTTGAAAAACCTCATTCAACTGTTCTTAAAATGCAGACCGGTGTTCAGTATTTCCAAATACAGTAAAGAGGTTCATATAAGTGAAGAGTCACAATACAGAATTAGTTTATTCTTATTAGGAAATGACAAAACATTGACAAAAATAATTAACAATAAAAATTTGCATAGCTTCCACATGTCAGCTTCTGAAATTTTATTTTAAAATTTGTTCAATCCACTCAATGAACGCACCAACTCTAGTAAACACACCTGGCTCATTTGGCTTGGCGCACCCATACCCATATGACACCAGACCTACCACATAGTATCTCTTAGTTGAATCTTCATCAAAGTAGAACAATGGGGCACCTTTATCTGACTGTAGAAAAAAGGAGATTAAATTCATTACAGTTTTGTTATTCATGCAATCTTTACAAAAATGAAAGAATCGGTCTCAAAATTCAATTTTATAACAAGCTCACAACTAGGCAACTTGTGTAATATTCTCACAAAGTCTACAGTTAGTTCCTGACATTAGAATCTTGTAACTAATTTCACAATTGCAACTACCTCCCAATTGCAACTATCAACTTCCAAATGAGGATGTTTCTAATTCAGCAACATTAAATTCAGAGAGAGTGAAGCGCTGGCCGCTACCCCAGGGAGAATGAGCTCTCTAGCCGTGCATTAGAGTTCAACCGACGCTAATAGCGTGCATCATTTGTTGTCGTAAATCCAGTGAATGACCCTGGTGTATTAATCTCGATTATATGTGCAAAGTAGTGTTGTTGTACAAGATTGTGGATAATTAGCAGAAATATAATTGTCCCAAGTTGAGTATTGAAACCATAAAATATTGATATTACCAGTATTAAAGTTTGTATACGAGTTGTGAGTAAATCGTCCATGTGTACTCCCAACTGAGAGACTGGGACAATAGGGTCAGGATATATCACGAGATAGGGTCCAACGATGTTCGCTATATACTATATCGCGATATATAATTACATGCAATCAATGGGGAAAATAGGGTTAGGTTCTGGAGGCCAAAAAAAGTGACTAAACTTGACTTAACGAGTTCATTTTCTTACTAACTAAAGCACCAATGAACACTAGACTCGGGAACAACAAGCTATATCAATATCAAGGCACATCAGACTCAGTAGCTGACACACCATCCTGGGAACACCAGACTCGGCAGCTGACGCGCCATCTCGAGAGCAATAAACGACACACTGGCGCCCTCACTTAACAATCATAAACGAACAAACCAAAAGCATTAGTTACAGTATTAAATCATTTCCATTAAGCTTTCCATTATCTTCACTTCACTTTTCACGTCACTAGCAACCCATTGAGACTCGCCTTAGAAGTCGTGATCTGCAGCACAGTCGGCTGCTTCTCGTCACTCACTCGGAAAGATTGAGCGGGCGAGCGTGAATGTGTGACTGAGCAGCCATGGTGGCGCCTCTGGTGAGCAAATAACGCATTTGTTTGCCATGGCGGTACATTTGAAATATTTCCTGCCCGATTTCCCTAGCGAAATAAATTCTTTTTCGCTATATACTGTACAGTATTACCATGCCTAATGCGGTTTCACTTAACGCGTTTTATCATATACGCGGTGCCTCGCCAGAGCTGAACTTTCACTTAACACGGATTTTTTCCACATATACGCGGTGAGTGTCCAGTGAGTGTCCGGCTCGAGACGCTATTTTTAGATTTGCCCCACCCGCCACCCTGCCTGTTTTAGCTCATAAAATTCATACAAATTACCCGGCCAGAATATAATTTACATTGCTGGAATTCTTATAATTTGGTGATCATTTTGAATATAAACATCATATATTTTGCATTAGACATACAAATTTTAGATAAAATTTTTTCTCTGAGTAACTATGTTATCTTTTGTGCAAAATATATGACATTTACATTCAAAATGTTCCTGGTCTTACAAGGAATCCAGCAATGTCAATTATATTATCCTAACTTTAGTTTGAGGTATTATTTATTACAAAAAAGTTAAGTATTCTGGTTTTCCCACACATCTCCTTGGGACGGTTGGTGGGGGGTGGGGGGGAGGGAGGGACCGACCGACCATCTGTTACCCTGTGAAGAATATATTTTTTTTTATTAACTGAAGATATTTGTTTTAGCTCATAAAATTCATACAAATTACCCGGTCAGAATATAATTTACATTGCTGGAATTCTTATAATTTGATGATCATTTTGAATATATACATCATATATTTTGCATTAGACATACAAATTTTAGATAAAATGTTTTCTGAGTAAATATGTTATCTTTTGTGCAAAATATATGACATTTATATTCAAAATATTCCTGGTCTTACAAGGAATCCAGCAATGTCAATTATATTATCCTAACTTTAATCTGAGGTATTATTTAATACAAAATGTTAAAATTTATTTTTTTCACCCCACATCTCTTGAAGGGAGGATTGGTGGGGGGTGGGGGGAGGGTTGGGACTGACAGTGCGGTTGGAAGAGGGGGGGAGGCAAGGTGGGGTACTTTGATTGACAGATAGTGTCGTGAAGATTATTATTTTTTTTATTAACTGAAGATATTTGTTTTAGCTCATAAAATTCATACAAATTACCCGGTCAGAATATAATTTACATTGCTGGAATTCTTATAATTTGGTGATCATTTTGAATATAAACATCATATATTTTGCATTAGACATACAAATTTTAGATAAAATTTTTCTCTGGGTAACTATGTTATCTTTTGTGCAAAATATATGACATTTATATTCAAAATATTCCTGGTCTTACAAGGAATCCAGCAATGTCAATTGTATTATCCTAACTTTAGTTTGAGGTATTATTTATTAAAATTTAGTGGTTTTCCCCCAAAAATTTCTCAGAGAGGGAAGAGCCGGCAGTGTAGTGTGAGAGGGGGAGGGAGTTGAGTCCATTATTTGAATGGACATTAACTTGGCGACTGTATTTCTCTATTTCTCTTAAGTATTAATTGTGTGCATGTACCATCATAAAATTAAGATGTTATTTTTACTACAACATAGTTATGTGTCTTCAAAAAGTAGAGTTTGGGGGTCGGGCCAGTTTCTATTGGAATTAATCCCATATGTTCTGTTGTTCACTTAACGCGGATTTCACTTAACACGGGACCCTCTGGGTTCTATTGACCGCGTTAAGTGGGGTACAACTGTATATAGGAAAATGTTGATATTTTGGTAGCCGCGATATAAAAAAAATCGTTATATAAAGTCACGATACATCCCGACCCTACTGTATCTGTTTCCATGTTGTTCATTCAGAAATAATATGATCTTATAAGAAATGTGTTAACATCACTGTGCTATCAGCAAGTGTGTAAAGTGATCATCTTTATTGTCAAAGAAATAATATAACAGTTGAAGATCTATTTTGTTACTTATATGTAAAACCTAGTGGTCTGTATTTGTGTGCGTGTTGCAGTAAAGTAATGAGTGATTGAACCTATTTTTTGTTGTTGACTAAAGGTTCAAATTGTCATCTTATTCACATTTGATTTCAATAAATATTGAATTAGTAAAGTGTGAGTATCACTGCTTCTTCCCTTCTAATAATTACTTCCCAGAAAGTAACCCACGTGCCTAAAAGCTCATCTACCACGCTACCTAACATTTTTAATGATATCAGTTATATTCTAATAAAAGCCTGGGTAGTGGCAGTCTACCTTGTAAGTATACTTAGACCAAGAGATGTTAAACAATGATATGGTTTTCCCAGGTTAATCCATTGAATAGCATATAACTAAGCCCTGATAAATATTGAAAGAAGTAAGAGGGAAATATAAGAAACAAATAATGACATTGAAAGAAATATAGTGCATAAGATATAGAAAAGAAAGATAAAGAATTTTGAAATACATCAACAAATAAAAATATTGAAAGAAATACTGGACAGTGATCCCTCGGTTAACGAGTTACCTTCCATAAGATTCTTAACTTCGGTTAACGAGCAATCCCTCGATTAACGAGTTTTTTACTAGCCGACCTCAACATGTTTTCGCTTGCATTTGGCGGTCCACCAGCTGTAGTAATAGTCCACCAATACAGTAATCGGTTTTAGGGCTTAAATTCCTTACTATTTTAGTAAATATCAAGAAGTTTATACTATTCAATAATTTTAAAAGTTTAATATTGAATTTTTTAGTCATTTTAACAATTATTGAACATAATTGAAGGTAAGGAAACTAGTTTCATGCACGCCATCCAACCTGGCAACACACCAAACAGGCACCAGTCTTTCTGTCTTTTCAGTGGAAGTAACATCTTGCTTGAGACTCTCTTCAACTAAATGCTTTTTTCTGTGTTTGCAAGCAAATTATTGGTCATTTTGAAATTTATTTTACATATTGACAATATATAATGCAGTGCAGTGTTGATTTAAAGAAAATAATCTTGAATTACACCAAGAGAACTAAAATTTTATGGGTGAAATGGTGCCATGGGGTGACTTCTCTTCCACCCCAATGCCTTGCCTTCTCTTCTCCCTTCTCCCTTCTCCTCCACCCCCATTCTAATTCCCATCATCATCATCCAGGAGCCTTCTACATACACACCTCAAAGTAAGTGAACTTTTCTACCATTTTTGTTGAATTTAGGCAATATTCGGTGAGCTGGAACCAATTACCCAAAAACCCTTTGAAACAATGGTTTCGGTTAACGAACAACCTTCTAGAACGGATTGTGCTCCTTAACCAAGGGAACACTGTACAGTACCGGTACTTAGAAAATAATTAGCAAGTAAATCATAATATAAAAGATAATATAACTAAGAAAATTAAGGGATATAGGAGACAGAACTAACTGAGACCACTTAACCAAAGAAATTAAAGAAAGTAATACAAGTTGTATACTAACAGAAAAGAAACATAACAATAAAATAATACAAAAGGAAAAATATCTCCTCTAACACACATGTATTTATTATTAAGATAATGAAAAAGATAAATAATAACTAAATTTATATGTTTCTTCCCCCTTGCAGTGAAGCCCTTGATGCAGATCCCAAGCTATACACATTAATAGATAATTCCCTTCAGGTAAAAATAAGGATACCCATGGAAGTTCCACACACTGATGTATGTATAAATTATCAACATACAGTAATTTTAGAATAAACAGGGAACAGCATAAAAAATATCCACACATGAAGTTTGTAGAATTGAAAACATGGACAAAATCATATCTCTTCTAATTCTCTAACTTAAAACTGTACAAGGGATCCGAACAGGTGTGAAACAAATTTTAAATACAAAGGGAAACAAAACCTTATTAGGAGAAAAGTTGGTGTGAATATAATAATCCTTTATAACCTGTAACAACTGAGGGAGAGGAGAAAA